CAGCTGGCAATACATTTTGAACCACTGTGCGTTAGCTGTATTGCGGCATAAGTGGATTACCGTATTAAGTTTTTATTATTAGTCTAACTGGCGAAGGCGTCGTTGACTTTGGGCAACCCTCGCCGAGGATGAGAACGAGGACGAGCACGAGGACGTCAACGCACTTGACGGTTAACAAGCGTGTGTGTGTGTGTGTGTGTGTGTTTGTGTGGGTGTATGTGTGTGCGTGTATATGTGCTTGTGGGCGGCTTAAGCTTCTAACAGCTGCAAATTAAGTGAAAATAAGAAAATTAGCTTAAAATATTTGCTGCGACCCTTCAATTTCATTTGCCAGCTTGCGGCCTGAGCGGATTAAGCTTGTCAGTGTTGTTGTTGTTGTTGTTGTTGTTGTAGTTAGTGCAAGTTAATAATTAGAGAGGACAGGCTTGATATCATAGCCCAATTCTAATCCCAATCGCAATCGCAATCCCAATTTCAAATACTCAACCGGAGAGCCATTAAATTTGCGTGGCTGCTCAAATCTCAAGGCGTTCATTTTCTGGCCAAGGCATAACTTTCATTTATGTGGCGACCCCAGTTCGCATATTATGCGATGTATTCTCTCTCGTTATCGCTTGCTCTCTCTCTATCTCTGTCTCTCTCTCTCTCTCTCTCTCTCTCTTCTGGTCTCTCTGAGTACGTATGCATATAGTATATGAGGCTCTGGCGATTGCAAAACTTTTCAACAATGGCGACAAAAGTTTCGCTTCCTGTTTGTTCTTGTTGTTCCTCTGTTGCTGCCCGTTGATATTGTTATTGTTGTTGTGCTTGTTGGAAAGTAGCTTTGCTACAAGCATTGGCAATGGGAAACAACAAATGCGTTTAGCTAATGACAAATTGCCATCAAAGTTGAGTGCGAAACATGTGAAGTGCAGCAAACTTTGCCGAGCACAACAACGATTCGCACTAAAATTCCCAAACGGTTACAGCTTGATGCAACATCAGGTTGAGCCCGAAGCACACAGAAAACATGGGACAATACACTGACCCCAGCTTGGATATTTTCAGTTTCAATTGAGGCCATGGTCTAACTGCTTTTGGTCCGGCTGTCATATTTCTTGACTTTGTTTAGGGCTTCTTACAAGGACGTCGGCAATGCAGAGCCAAGCTAAGAGCCATGCAGACATTGAGTGAGCTTCAGTTTTTGGGGCCTGACCATTAGTAAACATACTTGCAAATACACCACCCACACATGCACACACACTTATAGGCTTAAAGTTGTCAACTAAGCTGCTAAGTTGTCGACCGAGTGGCCATGCCTGTGCCGAGCTCTCAACAACCCGCAAACCCCTTTGTCACATTGTCATTTGTTTGCTGCTACTCTATTAGCCGCATTTTAATTCAGTTACTTAAGTTTAGTGTGAACACAACAATTTTATACTTGGCGACACGCATACACACACGCACACAAACAGACATAAGAGGCTAGAGGGCAACGATCAGGGTCCATGCGGCGTATGCGCAATTCCCAAAAACTGCTGCTGCAATTTGAAAATTTACTTTGTTTGCTCTTGTGTTTGTGTGTTTGTGTGTGTGTGTGTGTGTGTGTGTGGGTGCGCGTGTGTGTGAGTGTGTGTAATTTTCACTTAGACTGTCCGTCAGTCAGTTGCCGCATTGACCTCACATTGTCAAAGCTGTTGGGCGCAGGCGGCCGCCCCGCTTGGCAGCTAGCATAGAGCGGAGGGGCGGGCGGTCGTTTGCTGCCCGCTTGCCTCCTTGCCTCATGGTGCTCTGTGGTCAAAGGTAAAAAGTTTTGTCAAATTGAAAATGTTTACTGCTTCCTGCTGGCTATGAGTCAGGGGTTAGCGAGAGAGTGTCTCTGTGTGTGGGCTGACAGTCGTTCGGGCGGCAAAAACATCTTAAATTAGATACATTTTATCGCTACACATGAGCTGCTCACACACACACACACACACACACGCGCATGCACAGAAACTAAGACGCACAGCTGGAAAAGCTGTGGAAAGTTTTGAGAGATATTTATTACAGGACACTTCATGCAGAGCCAGTTGCAACAGCAGCGGCAGCAGCAACATTCCCCAGCAAGGACCTTCATCGCCGGGACTCGCAACGGCTCCCTTTCCGTGTGTCTAGTCGTGTGGTATGTCAACAGGCATTTAATTTGATTTTTAATCTCATTCTAAAGAGTCTTTCAAGCTTATTTATTTAGTTTTTTCATTTTTGACAACATTAATGAGCACACGAATAGGCCTTTCCATAAGTGCATTTCAGCTCAATTTTTGGCACTCGAGTATGTAATCCGATTTGTATGCCTTGCATCAAATCTTAGCTATGCAGTTAAATACTAAAAAGGCAACAGCAGAATATACTTTAAATATAAAAAATAAAGACTTCGGTAATTCTGCCACATATTAAGCAGAATTTTAGATTTAATAGGCACTTCAAGGCTACGGGCTGTAAATGTATATCGATATATTTAAATTTAGCAGCTAGTTTAACATGTTGACAAGTGCGCGGGCTGCCATATTTCAATATAGTGCACATATGGCAGCACTGCGTCTAACAAATATCTTGCAAATGGTTTCAAAATAGATTTTTTTGGGTATTTGAGAAGTGAATGTAATGCTGTTAAGCTATGAGCGAGGTAAGGGTGTCGGCTAGTCGATTTCCAAGTTTTCTTTATTTATATATGTTAATATATAGTTGCACAAATTGTTGTTGTGAATGAAAGGCCCTGCCAGCGAGCTATTTAAATGACATTTTCATGGAGCGAAAACTGACACATGCACACTCACACACACCCAGGGCACACACATAGATGTCAAATCAATGTCAGGCGGAAAAACCAAAATCAGCAGAATAAGCAGCGTTCTCGCAGGCGTTGTCGTTGTCGTCATTCTCCTTCTGGCCTGCATCATGGGCGTCAATCAAATGCAGAAGTTTAACAGCAATTGGCAATGGTATAAACGGATATGTGAGTGCGTGTGTGTGTGCTGGGGGCAAAGAAATTGCGTAGAAATTGACGATGCACGGCATCAAAATAAATAGCTGGGTAACAAAATGAATCTCATACTCAACTCATGGATATGCAAATTGAAGTGCAGCGGCAAGCAAAATGAAATCAAGCGCCGTCTGCGTCTAACTGTTGCGAAATTTGCGCGTCTCGATGCGGCTGCCAACCTGTCAGGCAAGAGCTAAGCCAAGATGTGGCAACACTTGAGCCGAACTGCTCAAGTGGCAAACGGCGTGCTACCTGCCACATGCCACATGCCGCATGCCGCATGCTGCTAGCTGCTCGGTGCTCGGTGCTCGATGCTTGCTTCTTGTTGCTTGAGACAAAAACAGCGGGCGCATTGTCAGCAGAAAACTTCATCGACACGTGTGCACCGAGTGCTCAGCCAGAGGTGCACTATAAAAATGAAGAAATTATATGGCATGCTTCTGTGCGCTAGGCGACAGGCACGCAACGCCGCAAACTCATCATCAGCAGCAGCAACAGCAACGACAACAACAGCAAAAAATAACAACGACAATCTCAACAAGTAAGTCGGAAGTAAGCGACTAGAAGTTACTCTGAACCCAAAGTTTATTCTTAAGATATATACAGAAAGTCTTTTTTCTTAGACCCAGCATATATATATTATTAAAATCAGATCTTTTTGAAATTTCTAAGGACCACACTTTGTGTATTTAGCTCTTAAGATCTACGTGTTGTGAATGTCAATATATCTATCGGTATATTGTATAAATTGTTTTTTATGATCTGCGCGCAGCCAACGTGAATCGAAAGGATATCGATTCGATAAGAACAAGCTACCTTTCCGTTCCATACGCTTGCACCTGCACAATATACCCGTTCTAACCCATTTTCGGCGGGTTCAGGGTATAAAAATGTCGCCTGCACGTACACTTGACTCATATACTATAAATGATCGGGCAGCGGAAACAGCGGAGTGGCAAGTGGGGCGATGGCAAGCTGGAAAGATTATGTTGAAAGGTAAATAAAAGTACTGCCAGCAAATGATAATGCCAGCCTGATGAAACCCGCATGTCCTTCCAGCTAGTCATTTAATAATACAATTTTCATTTTGTTTTATTTTTTTCAGTCTCTTCTTTTTTGTTTCTCTCCTGTCTGCTTTGTGTTCATGTAAGCCAAGTGCGTTAAAATACCAGCTACAAAGGAATTTTAGTTAACAATGCGGATATATAGCTGGACAGATGTTCCGATTTCCCATTTAGCAGGAAAATCAGCAAAGGACTCAACCATGATTGTTAGCAAAGCTTTTTCTTTGACGCAGTGAACTTCACGTGAGTTTCTCTTTAATAACATACGTACATAAGGATCTGTTATATATGTAACATAATATTAAATTCCATTTTATCATATTTCATAAGCAATTTGAATAATGCATTTTCCCAATAGCTGTCTAATCTAAAACATAAATAATAGAAAATTATCAAAATATATTTCGCTTAATTTCTGTTTGGTTTCAGGCAACAACAACAACAGCAACTTCTTTGACATGCCCTGCTTTGTAAGTGCTGTCGGGTCTTTGAGGACCTGCAACATTTGGTAACTAGCTCTTGGATGAGCACTTCTTAAAGTGGGTCTTCGTAAGGACTGTAAACCAAGTTAATGTAACCAAGCGCTATGTGGTGACAAGTCGCTGTGGCCTTGTTTAGCACCTAGACAACAAAATATGCACACCTTCAGCACAAAGACACGCACACCAGGTCTCACATACACACGCACACATACATACAGGCGCGGAGCGGGCTGCCATGAAAGAGAAAGTTAAATTAAAAATGTCAAAGTGCATACATTTAGGAGCTAATGAAATAAGTTAAGCGACAACAACAACAACAACAGCAACAACAACAACAGCAGCCACAGCAAGAAGAAGACGAATGAGAAGAAGCAGAGGCAGAAGAATAAGTGGATGAAGGATAAGAAGAAGAAGAGGCATTGGCGAAATCGCTTGCGCAGAGCACCGCATTAAGCACACTTCACAACACTGCAAAACACTGCACCAAACGCCACCTACACATGCACAACTGTCGCCTTCCCTCCCTCACTCACGGTCAGTTTATTTTGCTATCTCACTCTATCGTGCTGTGCGTTTCGTTTGCAATGCAATTTGAATTAATTTGACTCTTTTTTTTTTTATGAACTTTAAGTGTGCCAACGTCAGCAACGCAGCATTGCCAGATGTTTTCGTTGATTGCTTGTATGTTTATTTATTTGTTTGTTTGTTTGTTTGTTTGTTTGTTGGTTTGTTTGTTTGTTTGTTGTCGCTGCAGCAGTGCCACGTTGTGTTATTCATTTAGTTGGCTTTCAACTTGTGGCAAGTAATATGCCAACTGTCAACTGTCAACTGTGCATGTGAATGAGCTGAGTTGAGTAATGTTAATCAAAAGGCCCAAATATCAGCAGGCCAAGATGCTGGCCTGTGTGAGGTTGCGTCATATGGGGGTGGGGGTTAACTTGCCACCTCACGGCTTAGGCACAAAGCGATAACACATCGCCAACCAAGCAGTCAATGGAGACGCAAGATACGTGTTTATCACACAATCTCATTATCTTGTCTCTGCGCTCTGCGCTCTGTGCTCTGTCCCAGCTGTCGTCTGCCTGGCCATCAAACCATCCTTCTATCAATCCATAACTATTCCTCTATCAATCTATCTAGCTGCTTAACTCTGCCCGCCGGCCCTGATGATGTTGATGATGGTCAACAATGCTCGTATCCTATCTAAGATGCATGCTTGCATTATAAGTATGAGTTGTATATACTTAGTATATATATGTATGTAAGTTTATATACATATATACACTATTTGAAGCAGTACCTACCTTCCTTTGCTGTTTTAGTTCAGCTTCCTGCTAGAATGTTGTTGTTGTTCTTGTGATAGACTGTTTCCAAAGGCAGAGCATGATGTATTTGACTTGCCTCTGTGCTTGAGCATATGGACCAAGGTTGGTTTATATATATATATATATATATATATATACTTACATATATATATATATAGACTGGGTCTGAGTCAGTTCAGGGTTTGATCCATTGCCTTCTTTAAGAGATTTGGCAAATAAAAATGTGTATTTTTGAGCTCAAAGCAGATCGATTCCAAGCAGTTTTCGCGCCTTGCTATATATAAAAAAAAAAAAACTCTTTAGATCCCCGAAATTATAGAGCTTGACACACAAAATTGTGTATGAACGTAGAGACCATTAGCATTTAAAGTCTCATTTGGCGCCAGCTCGTCTGAGATGTTGTATAGAGTATCTCCTCGTAGGGAGGTTCCTACTTAGCTATTTGATGTTGCTGGCATTCGCCTCGGTTTGGGTGTTGATTGTTGTTGACTTTGATTTTTGCAATCTGGTTTCGATTTATTTTATATTTCTTCCAGTTGACTGACATTTCTGCACTGTCCGCTCGCCGAGAAGCCACCCACCCATTTGCCACATGGCGCTCAAATTCTAATTTAGTTCATTGGCTTAGATCCCAGATTTCAGTGTCCTTGTTGCTGCTGTTGCATACAATTTGAGTAAATAGCACACAATATATTGACACATGCGGGCCGCCTTCGTGTGTGTGTGTGTGTGTGTGTGTGTGTGTGTGTGTTGCTTGTGTGTGGTATGTGACAGACGTCACGGGCGTAGCCGATTGCACATTTAGCATTTTGTCGGCACCCGCATTTCGTCAAAACTTCAAATTTGCAATTCCCTTTCGTATTTCCATCACAATTTTAATACCCTTCAATCGACTTCATACACAAATTCGATGAGGGCTACAATTATTATGAAAAAAACAAACAAAAATATTTGTATAAAAATACTTTTTCTCTGATATGAATGCTGTTGCGATTAGGGACGCATTTGAAAGGAACGAAATGAAATATCAAATATTTTGTGGTTTATGTAAAATACTTAGCATAAATATAGAGCAATCCAAAGTCGTTGAATGATTGTTGCTCTCGTTTTATTAATTTTTTTTTATTTTTGAATCATCATAAGTCTCGCCGCACGGAAACGTTTACAATATGCAAATGATGGGAACCTAGATTCCTGTTGTTGTTATTCTTGTTGCTAATGTGACTGTTATAGTTGTTGTTTGCGGTCTGTCTCCAGCGTTAGCAGGTCAAGAGCTTTTCACAGCCAGTTCTCGATAAAATTTAGCATTGAGATGTCAATCAGCTGACAAATGCTAAACCAAATTCGAAACAGAGCTGAGTAAATGCTGAAAAAGTACGTGTGCGTGTCTGTGTGTGTGTGTGTGTGTGTGTGTGTGTTTGTGCTTATGGGCAGTGTTAATATAAAACGCAATCAAAATCAAATCAAATGAAAATTATTTCGAGTTGAGTTGTATGTTGACAACTTCATTATGTTTGCATTGCTTTGGCGTATTCTCTGTGTTTGTCCGGCAATATGACTAACAAGCGGACACACACACACACACACACCCATCCAAATACCAACACCAACACCAAGGCATATACCAAAACGGGACGCACATTAAAAGCAACCAGACGAGCCGCAAATGGAACTAATTTGATGTGTGAATAACAGCAATGAAAAGAGGCAGCTTTTACTATGATGATGGGGGGAAGGGACGGTGACATGGTGGCAGCAGAGGGGTGCGAGGCATATATATGCGTGTATTGATGTGGTATATCGGTATGCCTTAAATAACAGCAGGACGAGAGCAAACGTTGTGAAGCCAGAATACAAGCACAATGTCAATGTGAGTGAGCAGAGGGCAGCAGGCGAGACAAATCGAATGATAAGCCAAGCTTGCTGGCATGGCTGTAGGTATAGATGAAGGTGTGTGCGTGTGTGTGTGTGTGTGTGTGTGTTTTGATTTTGCGATATATGCCGCATTAATTCAATTTGATAAGAACAGGCAGACAGCTTGATGCCAGCCGAATATCATAGGAAATTCGATAAACTCGAAAATCTGTAGCACAATGTCCTCTGTCCTCTGTCCTCTCCTATTTGATGCAGTGCCACATCGACCATACAATAAGGCCAATTCATAAGCACCAACAGCAACAGCAAGAACAACAACAATAATAAGAGCACAATGCTGGTTGCTTGTGTAGTGATTAAAGGCCACAACGGCTGATTTTAAATCCGGTGTCCAATAAAACAAAATGAATTGTGTGAGTGCATAAAGAATGAGCGAACAGATTGAATTGAGCACAATTGCGAAAGTGCTTATGCGTTTTGCATTCAATTGCTGCTGAATGGCTCTTGGCTGAATGGCTAAAATACAAAGTAATTGATGTGTTTACATAAATGTTAATTACGACCTGCCAATGAATATAAGAATCAAATGAATTGTAAACGCATAGAAATGAATAACAAATGAAACAATTACTTTTTCTCATAGATTTTAAACCAAAATATTTCAAGCGAAGAGCTTACGAACTGAGAATTTAATTATTTCTTCAAATATCCGCTAAGAATAACAAATGAATCAGTTGTCTAATAGAATAAAATAAAGATAAAACATAATAGCATTGAATAACATTGCAATGATTCATATAGAAATATTGCTTATAGACAATATAAGATTCAAATACTTTGATTAGACTCATTCAAAAGGAACACTATGCTTTAACTAATTGTTAAAATAGTGCAAATAGTGCAGCAAGCCAAAGGCAACTGAAATACTGCGAAATGCGGGTACTTGGGATTCATTTATAATCGTCGTCACAGTATTCCCATTGATGTGAACTGCGGTGTAGTTACATATATTCAATGACATCTTATATCTGTCTCTGACCATAAACAAGGCATCGGAATGAGTTATCCTTGTGCTCATTACATTTGGATTAACATGTTAATAATATGTGTGTGGACGTGATTGTGTCCCACTGTGTGCGTGTGTGGGTGTGTGTCGGTGTGCTCTGCCTGCAGCCATATTGTGGTCAACCGCACACCCACACATATACACACACACGACCAGATCAATGTGGGTAGATAGTCAGCGAGTGTTATAATTGTATGTTTGACAATCTTCATAACTGTCAATTAAATTGGCATTTGCCATGCCAAGTCGTATGTGGCCTGCACTCAGTCTAATGTAATTGTTTAACACACTGCTGCGCATTATTATAAACAAATGCCATCAGACACACACGCACACACACACACACACACACACACTCGCTCGCATGGATGTACACACAATCGGCCATTCGGACAGCTGGACATGCAACATGATTGCCCCGATTTTATTGACTGCATTACTATTGTGTGTATGTGCCTGTGTGTGTGCTTGTGTGTATGCGTGTGTGTGTGTGTGTGTGTGCGTGGCACAAACAGCTTGCCAATTTGCATATGTGGCATTGCATAGGCATCTGCTCCTCAGTGAAGCTGCTGTTTTGATTTATAGACCGTTTGCTCATGTGTAGAACCGGCGAGAGCCTAATCAATTTGTATGCCATTGAACGGAACTGCCTGAACACGAGCTTGGGCCTGGCATCCAAAATGTAAAATTTGACATCAGAAATTCATTCAAATTGTTTAAGAATCGCCCCAAGATGTGACATATGTACTTACTCGGACAGCTGACAGGTGACATCCGATTTTAGCATGGGATACACAAATAATGGACTACATTATCTCGAGTGCTCAACTATTAACTCGCATATCTACGACCATAATATGCAAATCGAAAATACCTAAAAATATGCAGAATATATGTTATATATCATGAAAAACTCTTCTCAGCTGAGTTGCCTTCCTAGGCTAATAAAGAGCAGGTTGATATGATGGCATTCACAGAATCCATTTCCCGAAATACTCTTATTTTAAATACGTCTTCCTTTTGTTTGAAAAAAATTGATTTAATTACTTTAATTTTATTATCTTGGGTCTAAATTAAAAAAACTTTTCTATGCAGTTTGATATAATTTATATTTCGCTGCAATCACATAAAATCTGTAAATGCGTTTATGTGTCTAAACTGTATATTTGTAAAAGTGTGTTGCTTTTATGTATGTATGTATGCACATATAAATGCATGTATTCATGTATATATGAATGTATACTAAAAGCACAACAGGGGTATTTTAAGATGCGCTGCATTTTTAGTATAACACATTTTTAAATATAGCTCTCCTCCTTGATTCTCAAAAGTAGAAGTAAGTACCACATGCTTCCATGCCTTGAATAAAGGTGTTAAGCAATTAGAGTCGTGTAGTCAGTTAATTCAACTTTCAGTATATGCTGCGTTAAAGGTGTGTATGCCTGTATGTTTGTATGCATGTGTGTAAGTCTGCACGTGGGCAATATGTATTTATATATATATATATATATGTATGTATATGTGCATGTATGTATGTATGCACGCGCTCATGTTTATTTGTATTCATAGGCTTATATATATATATATGCATGCGTGCATTTAGGATTGCATGTATGTGTGTATGTATGAGTGCATATTTGAATATATGTCTGTATGCATTAGTACATGTATGCTTGCATGTATGATGTATGTATGCACGAATGTCTGTATGTGTGAATGTATGTATATATGTATGTATGTATGTATGTGTGTCTACATGTATGTATATATGTGCACATGCATCTAGGTATGTATGCACTTTTGACTACGATGCAATTTAAATGAAGCGGATAGCTCTCCTCCTCGATTCTCATATTTTTAAGTAAGCCTTAAAGATTTTTCTCCTTTTTAAGAAGTTTGAAGTGGTAACAGTTGTGTTCGCAATCAATTAAACCTATATGTCTGCTTTCATATTTATGTATGCATGTATGTTTGTACGCACGTGTACATGTGTGTATGTATGCATGTGTTTGCCTGTGCACAAGTATGTTTGTACTGATGCATGTAGACATGTGCATATGTGTATATATATGCATTGAAGACTTGAAGGTAATAATAAGTTTCCCTGTTTTTTCTTTTAGATATGTGTTTATATGAAAGGCTGTCTTCCTCATGATGACCATAAAATGATCGTGCGAATGTCTCTGACTTTTTTTTGGGTAAGTACACATTTTTTAATACTTATATATAATAATATATATATAATATAATTAGAAATACACATAGAGAACTGGGTACGGGTTATCGCCCTGCAATCTATAAGCTTATAGCTTATGGTTCTTAAACTTGAAATCAACTTTCACCAAAAACCGTAAGCTCTTATCATTTGTGAGCAATGAGAGCTGCTGACATCATATGCCCTGAAAGAAGTTCAAGCGCTGCGTCGTTTGTCGTTAATCAATGTCCGTCCGTGTGATGTCCCCAAAGGTGACAATGCAACATTTGGCAAGCAATCTGGCCAAAATGAGACATCCCGCCGTCTCGCCAGTCTAGTGGGTAGATAACCAGACGAGACGAGTGTCACGCAAGGAATAAAGCATTTTGCTATCCATTTTTCTGTCTGCCACCCACCGGCAAATGGTATTCCATTTCGGCAATGCAATCCACAAACGTAAGGGAGGCAAAGGATTTGAGGCAAAATGGCCGCAAAGGCGAAAGCATAATGCATAATTACAACAATAGCAGGCCGTAGCCAAGGACGAGCACTGAAATGAAGCGTGCCCAGCCGGGTGACTAGCTGCCAAGTGGCAAAGCCCTGGTAGGGCTGGGTGGCCGTTGCCAGGGTCTGGCAACTTTATCAGGACATCCGCTTTCAGCGATTTTTAATTGCTATTGTTACAGTTTATTGTTATATTATGGGGGCCAAGCGAATGAATGGCCAGAAAACAAAACAGAGACAGCGACAACAAAAGAGCTAGACAGAGAGAGGGAGTAGGCCTCAGAGAAAGGCACAGAGAAAGAGAGAGAGAGAGAGACTGTTACTGCGACATGGTGAGATAGAGAAAGAAAAGCATGTTGAAATTTCATTTATTATCCTCTGCCTTACGAGTTTTTGTTAAAAATAAGTAAACAATTAGCGTATTTAAATCTATTTGGGAGTATGCCAGCTGCGGAAGTTGCCATATAATTATATATACTTATATATACATATATATATATATATGTGTATACAGACTTTGCATAAATGATTGTATGCATATATTTATATATAAGTGCGTTAAAATGAGTATCATACCCATTACCCTAAAGCTTAATGAGTGGACTTAGTTTCTTGTTCAGCGGAAAGGCTCTTGAGAAACGCGTCACAAATGGCAGCTACAAATTGATATGCACTTGTCCAGCTTTTCAACGTGAGCACATGCCTGCCTGGGTGTGTATGAATGTATGTGTGTGGCTGTGAGTGTGCGAGTGTGTGTAGTGGCTTGTTAGGACCATCCAGTTACATGTGTAGACCGTGGTAAGCCAACATACATATTTTCTGAGCATCTAGACAAATAAAAAAAAGTGTATGAGAAATTTTTGATATTCAGCTGAATTTTGAATACACTTACTAACACATGGGCTTCACACAATTTAAGTGCCTTATGCGTATTGAAAAACAAAAATTAATTGATTAAATTGCTGAAAATAATATACATTTATATTTAATATTATATATTTATCCTTGCATTGAAAATATTTGCCTGTGTCTCATAGGTACAGAATAAGTCTTAAAATGACTCGAATGCCGTTCTACAACAATAATTAATATTATATTTCGTGTGAATGCATTATTGAGTTGATTTTGATGTTTTCTATTTGTTGCATGTGAATATACCGAAATTATTAGGGTATAAAATAGACACAGAGTCAACAGTAATGTGTGCTTGTGTGAGTGTGTGTGTGTGTGTTTTAACATGTAGATGTATACGAGTAAATAAAAATATGCTTAACAAATATAGTGAAATGAAACAGCAAAGTGCACTTCAAAGGCTGTGGTAACAACGGGCAAGAGCCATAAGAGCCGAAAACATAAGCATAAGTGCTTTGTACAACAACAACAACAACAACAACAACAACAGCAACAACAACAACAACAACAGGAGCGGTAAGGACTGCAAACGAGAGGACGATGCCAAGTGTGCCACTACAATAATCATAAAAGCGCAAAACAACAACAACAACAACAACATGAATGGGTACAGAAACAACAAATGACAACAAATGCCTGAGCTGAGGATTTGGAGTTGTCGCAGTCACAAGTCTGGCCCAAACTCACACACGCGCACTCATATGTGTACACAGACTTGCGTTGTCCTGAGCGCCTTTTTGTGGCCTCACCTGCTCTGGCTCCGGTTGCGGCTCCTACTTCAGCTTCCTTTAACTGCAATGCAAAAGCGGAAATAATGTATTAATCCTGTTGAGGCCATATTTTTATTGCCATTGCTTCGTGTTGCTGTACTTAGCCAAGTGGCGACCCGCCCTGCCCACCAACGCCCATCACCCCTCGTTCGCTCTGCCAGTAATAAACCACCTCAACAAATGCGTATGTGTTTGTGTGTGTGTGTGAGTGAGTGTTGCTTGTGAAAGCATTAACAGTTCTTCTATTTTTATGATAAGCCTAATACCTATTAGGCATTTTATGGCCGGTTACTTTGTAAAAGCATAATAACGAGTGTTTTATAAAAGTAACGAGAAGCCAACTCGTTACTCGTATGAGTTCCAGTTAATAACGCTTGATCGTACGTTTTGCAAATCAGTTTACTTCCTTTTCGGAACTTAGTTCCAAACAAAAAACTGTTTGCTTACTCGTCATTAATATTAATATTAATTGCTTGGCATGGAGTCCACAAGATGTATAGCACAATTTCAACGAGTGATTACCGATGTAATTAGAAGCCGAGTCGTTACATGGCTTTACGCCAGCCTGGGTATTCCTATTTTTCCTGCTTGTAATCTCAGCTTACGTGTACTTTTTAGTCTACGTGCAGATCGTCGGGTCTGCACCTCACGTTGAGTCCCGCTGCTGAAATTCTCAATGTATCCATTTATTCTTTGGACGAGTGCATACAAAACAGCAGCATTTTAAAGCACCCTCATAAATATTGCTGCTTGGGCAGCGGCAGCGGCAATGGCAACAACAGAGCAACGCGACGTTATGCGTAATTATTATTACGTATACGCCCTGTTAGCCGCATTCGTTGGCGCTGCACAATGGGCCAGAGCTATGCAGGCATACTCACTTTTATTCACCACACAGATCGAAACAGTTCCCTGCCTTTACATTCGATTCCTGGAGCTAGAGTCAATGTGTTTGGCTCTAATCCACAGCCTTTTTTAAAACCATATTATATTAAAAACTTTAAATTGCGCCCGTTCTACTGAGAATATTGCAAGCCGTTCATATTTTCATAAGAAAACATGCGCTACATACGATAAATGCAACGGGGGGCACAAGCTGTATATGCTTTGTAGTTGGGTCTACCTCGAGAGATTTTCATATTGAACTGAAGCAGTTTTTCGAAAAGTATCGGTCCAATTCTCGTAATCGTTTTATAGTAAACAATTTCCGGTTTGAACTAAATGCTACGCATCAAAAATCTTTGACTTTTGCCCACTGTGCAAGGCGCCACGTCTGCTGCTGACCAGCGCTCACATTAAAAGAGCTGAGTATGGGCGAGTCAGAGGGCAAATGCCAAGGGGAGGGGCCAGCTGTAAAGCGTGTCTGTCAATGGTGGCGACAATTATGCGCATGTTGCCGGCTTAAGCAGCCATTGTTCCTTTAGCTGCTTTTTCATAAATTTAAATGCAAAACATATTAAGTTTTATTGCATGGGGCTTAAGTTGTTGTTGCCGTTGTTTTGCGTTTTGTAAGGCTGATCCCACCGCATATGTCGGAAATCCACTGCGAAATTTAGTAACCCGCATGTGTTATGAACTGCGTGAGCTGCGGCAGCTGGCTGTGCGGAATAATAGAGAGGGCTGATCGCAGAGCCTTAGCTTGTCGCGCTATAAATTTATACCCATGCAGAGGGTATTTTAATTATATATGTTGCCCACTTAAGCGACTATATATAATAGCTTAAAGAAGTCGTTTATGAATGTGACACAAAGTCGTATGTAATGGAATCCCGAGTGGCTACGCTTTAGAACGATTTCATTAAAATATATATATAGCTCAAGTAAGAAACATTCCCGATTCTTAATGGCTCTGAGTCTCTAACATATAAAGCTATGCCTATTAAATTTGTTAAATTTGTTGCACATATGCCTTGAATCACAGATAGAACAAAGTTCTAAATCGAAGGTGTAGTAGCTGTCAGCTGTATTTGAAAACTGTGCTTATGTATATTCAGAGTTATCCAATTGTGCTCACAGTTTCTCTGCAGCAAACCCCTCAATTCTTTGGATATTTATACACTGCATATTAGATGCATTCTTCTTCAGGTGCTTGCACAGACCATTGGTCATGACAGCCTCAAAATGTTGTACTTATTTCGCTGCCCGGTTCTCGGATGCCCCACATGGTGCTGGACTTTGATAAAAGCAAATACTAATAATACTACCTTTGGTTGTCCATGGCTTCATCTCAAGCTGTAAAAATTGCAATTTGCTGGCAAGGAAATGCTTACACATAAGCGGATGTATTCAATGATATTCGATATGGGAATGCGCTCCCCATGTGGGTCATCTCCACACACACTCACACGCACGCACACACACACAAATTTCGAGCATGCATAGAAATGGAGCTGGCTGTTGTCATCCATTTTATTATATATATATTTCTTTTTTGCTCATGAGCAAAAAACCCGATACTCAAAGTAATAAATTTAAATTGAATGGGACCCGCAGAAATACCTTTGTGTATGCAAAAAGCGTTTGCTAAAATAATTCAACTCGAGCTTATCTTGAGAGATTTTCTTTTAAGAGATCTAAAAAGTTTAGCGGTTCATTATTTGTAACTGGAATAAGTGAATTTTTTGAATCTGGTTCGCTAGTTAAATATTGGAAACAAATATTCAGCTAGCTCTGTGCGCTAAAGCCAGATTATTGCTTATGGTCATCGAATAGCAAATTGCAAATTTGAATACGAATTTCAATTCAAAAATAGAACAACATTTGATAGGTTGTGAAATAAAAAACCCTATTTGCCCACCAAGTAGAACTCTGCATAAAA